GGGCTTTTTTGTTTGTTTTAAACAGGCTGCCAACATTAGGCATAACATGAGCTTTCCTCCCTATGTCCTCGATTTTCCTTCACAGCTTTTGCTGGCAAAGTCATTTGCTTCAGCTCTCCTATTTTTATTACAATATAAGAGAGGTTGTTACTTAATTAGGTCAAAGAGTCTAATTCCCAGTCTGCATTTCAAATTACATCTCATGCACCTAAGCTTTATCAAGCTTTAACCACTAAGTTATTACAGTAATTGCACCTTGACTTAATATTTTTTACCTGTCGGGGACAGTGTTATAAAAACAACATTTAACTTGCATGATACATTTCTTTACCACCATATAAGTGAGAATTTTCATCTCGGGAACTACATTTAAAGTGCTGAAATTATCTTCACAGACACTACAGAAACCGGACAAAAAGGTGGTGTTTGTCCGCGAGAAACTTTGCCTCATCTTTCCTTGGAGTGCCGGATTTTTAGTTGTTGTTGTTGTTATGTGCGTGCATTTTTTTTAATGGAACTAATCACACATTTTTTTTTATAAAGCACTACTACATAGTTTTAAGAACCCAGCCAGAACATCAAAAATCCCACATTCATTCAGTGATAACACTTCTTTTTTTTTTTTTTTTCTTAAACGATAAAGCTGCGTGGCACAGAGCTCTGCTCAGGTTTTCCTGCTGCATCGATGCTGATCGAAACAACCTTTTCCTGTTCCTCGGGGATCTAAAAATCCAAAAAGTTACTTTTAAAACTCTTCTAGGAGAGGCACAAGGGCAGGAACAATGGAACAGCTGATGCCTGAGAGCTGCTTACCCCGCTACTCCCATACAGATGCTTATTCCCTTTTCACCAAGGGATAAACCAGCTCAAATTACTGTGGGCTAACACAGTTATCCCGGGATAAATGTGTGCAGGCTCCTGTTCCCTAATAAAAGGGAGACAACTCAAGTAGTTACGTCTGATTCTAATCATATGAATGTTTTAAAAGATGTGTATTCTATCTCGATGCGAGATACGGCTTTTGTCCCTCACTCAGCTATTAAGAGAAAAGACAGACGCCCGTACCCTTTACTCCCCTCCCTATACGCACGCTCGCGTCATTTTCACTGGGACCTAGGGAAAGGAAGACGCAACAAATTCTACCAACACTTTGCTAAAGCAATTTGAAATGCTCCCCAAAAGTCTAAGAAAAATGTGAAGTATAATTTTCGTTACTTGAAAAATTCCAATTTTTTAATTCTCCTTTTATACTTCTGTCCTCCTGTTTACAAATTTTCATGAATTCCTACAAAAAAAGAAAAAGATCTTTATTCTTTTCAAAATTACAGTACAGCCAACAGAATGCAAGTTCACAGATGTTACTGATAAAATCTGATTTGCAATATTTTTCCTTCACCTATCTTGAGTACTTTGTGTTTGAGGGTTTGGGAGGTCATTTTGTTTAGAGGTCAATTTATGTCAGATTTGGGTATGCAACAGAACAGGACAGTAATTGAAGAGTTACATACAAAGCATATGTCGCAAGCACCTGCAAACTGTCCAGATAACCTTATATCTGACATTTCCCAACTCTTGAATACTTAATCTCATGATCCAAACAACACGTGGTAGCATCCAGTCTGCCCAGCTTTCTAAAATTTTAGGCAGCTGGGCCCAGGGGCATAGTGCAGTCAGTGCGATATAACCACCCAAACGTTCTGCTTAGAGAGAGAGAGAGAGAGAGAGAGAGAGACACCTCTGAAGACCCCCTCACCTAGCATCTTCCAAACACCTTCCAAACACAGACCCAGTAAACCAAAGATGAAATTCTGGAAAAATTTTAGCATATTACTCTTTTTAACAGAGCCCTCGATCGGGAAGTCAAATTCCAGCTTCGGTGTGGTCTGAACGCCCAGCTCCTACCGGCTAGAGGAACGACCTGAGCGGCAGGCCTGCCTCCAAGCCGAGCGGCCCGAACACCGAAACCCCGACGAGCTGGATGGAGCCGGTATTAGTAGGAGCAATTCTGACACTACAAACAAGTTCTGTGGGCTTTTCCTCCCCCACTAATTTTAATCCTTTGCTGTACAGATTTCGAAACAGGGGCACTCTTGTGAAAAGTCTCATTAAGTGCACTGCTTTTATACTTCCAATTAGAACCGATTACGCCCACTGCAGATGGCAGAACGAGTGCCACTGACTGCACACAAGCAGTACATCAAGCTGCAGACGGCTCTGCTTGGAGCTTCTTGGTTTATTAAAGACGCTCGAAAATAAAGACTATCCAACACAAAGAACGGTCACCAGCATTCTTAATGTAGGCAAAACCAAGGAAAAAAAAATATTTCAGCTATTAAGTCCAAACCGAGACTTAAACGCTTGCACGAATTTATAGCCAGAAATGCACTCATTGCAGTGAATGGGAGTAGTCATGCATGTGAAGTTACAAATGTGTGCCAGTTTTCAGTTTAACAGCCTGCTAATTGTGGTTTGGGTTAAGAATATGAATACACTGTGTCTGTTGACAGCGATTAAGGTAACATTGTTATCTTTACAAATGTGCTCCGCTTTCTGTGAAGACCAAGAATCACTTGTGGATTCAGTCTCACTGGAACTTTACAGCTTGTTTTTCAACAATATTGCTACTCTGCAGCAATTTAAAAAAATAATTACACGGTTTCTAAAATCCATGGACTTTCCACAGGCTTCTCTTTCACAGAAGTCGCCGTAATAGTTTTCTTTCTCCATGGCCTTTCAAATTTGATGTTGTGCATTTTTAGTAAGTCTGATAACTTGCTTTTAGATGTTATCAAGATAATAACAGGTCTTCAGTCACATCTTGCAAAGAAAGATTTAGTCATGGGCAGCATCTGTTCCTCAAAATCTTTAATCTCAATTATAACACGTAAGGCAACAACATATTTGACTTTTAGTTCCACAAAAGCCAATTTGATTCTAGAAGTGTTACTTTTTTTTCTTAATGCTGTAACTGGGTCCCATGTTCATTATCTCTAATGTAGTGGCTTCCGTGCCGAAAGTTCAAGATCTCTGTATATGCCTGTATGATTTATATGCATTTCAGTGTTCCTGTCTATACACAACATGCTGTGTTTGATGACACAAATCTGACTGTAGGTGAGCTGTGGCTAGCAGAAAGAGAAAGTTACAATGCTGCAGGAATGACCAGAGACGTCTTTCCATTTTCCCTTTTGCTTTAGGTCTGTTTTATGCTGCAGCATTATTGCTCAAATTCTTTTCCTGCTGTCTTGTCAGAAGTCAGTGAGGTTGCCTGAACAGTTAACCAGATAAGACAAATGTAATTGCCCTAATTTACTCAAGAGGCCAAGTGAGACTCATGGAGCAAAGCAGAGTCAGGGACAGAGAGCATCAGCTCTTGAAAAGTTATGCACTGATTTCCATGACAACAAACACCCAAATACCTTGCAGGATCCCAAAATGAAGAATAGTGACTTTGGAAAAAGACAGGTGGATTTAGAAAGACCTAATGATAAGGGGGAGGAGAAGAAAGGAAGAGAGACCAAAAACTGTATGGGGTGCAGAGCAAGGAGACAAGAGCATCTGATTTTCACTTTGTAATAGATGGAACTGGGATTCAGGACACTATCAGATAAACGCAGATGTCTTCTTGTGCTCATCAGTACCTGCACACCTTCTAAGCCTTCTTGCTATATTCCCAGGCATTTGTACCTGCTTCTAATGTTTTCCCCAAATTTAGTCAACGCATGCTTCTCAGAAAATGCTAAATATATTCCTCTAGAACTTCAAATTCCCTGCTTGACAGAAATAGCAATTTGAGGCACAAATGAGAAGATGTCACATTGTCATTATTATTGTAATCCAAACACGCAGAGCTTCACCTATGAAGGAAAAAATAAGGACATCAGAAGGGATTAAAAAGAAATAGCTCCTTCCCTTCCTGAGTTTGAAGTGTGGGATCAAAAAAGAACACAGCTGCCTGTTCTTACCAGGCTCCAAACTGTGATACTTGGGGGAATTTTCTTACGCTATAACAACACCGTCCCATAAGAGAAGGGAGGCAATCTGGGGGAGTTCTCCTGGACTTTTCCCCCATGTTGAGCAGGTAAATGACTGAGTTCAGGAAATTCGTTAATCTGGAGCTGATCTCGTAGGTTTAGGATATTTTTGAACCTGGCAGAGACACAACAAAAGGACAGTAGTCCATGAGAACAGCTATCTCTTGCAGAAAGCTCTGGGGTTTGCGTAATGCTATCAGAGCTTCACAAGGTTGAAAAACCATTTCAAAACATAACTCTAACTTCACAGCGTAGTTCTTGAGCTTGCCCAGTTCAGCTGACTTAACAAGCCCAAGGGCTCGCTCTCCCTGCCTCCCATCCCTACCCTACTCTGTCTCAGTTACGACAATATTCCAACATACCAGCCAGACATTGAAGACGACTCACCTAACATGCAGCAAATAAGTAATTTTAGGTTTGAGTTTTCAGAGAAAGAACTTTGAACTTGCCAGTCTAAAGACAGCTTGAAAATACAAAAAGAGGATTTAGGTGCTTAATTTTTAGGAAGTTTTACCATTACACAGTTTTGCTAATTGGTAAGAAAGTCACACTCTAAAAGGATACTGAAATCAAGAAAATAACCTAATAATGCTATTGGAAAAAAATCACATAGTTGAAAAAAAAAACAAAAACAACAACAAAAAAAACCCTGCCTGCTTACTTACAGTTGCAAAAACGAAGACATTCGACAACTTAATAAGATAGGGAAAAGCTATTAAAAGTCCTCTGAACAAGAGTAACTCTCATCTCAGCAAAGATGAGTGCTGCAAAATCACCTTCTCCTGGGAAAACAATCCTCATCATTTCTCAGGGAGAGAGATGTGATGGTCTGTTCCCTTTGTTTTATCTACGCAATCTTACATTTTCACAACTTCTGCTTCTGCAGCAGTATGTATTCTGCATAAACAAAGTAAGAACTTTCCAAATTGATGCCAGTAAAATAAAGAGCAGTAGAACTGAATATACCTGTTGATAGAAAAAATTTAGAGTTGGTTTGTCCTCAGTGAACTGGTTTAGAAATCCTTTGGGTAAATATCGGATTCTCAGCTCATATCTGAAAAGTAAGAAAAAGAGAATTAAACTGACAAGGCACAAATAACAATCAAGACTTCATCAGAAATTAGACAGTCATCAAGAGTTCTTGAAAATAAAGTCAAAACAAACCCAGAAAACTAACAGAGGATTCTCTGTTTTGACAACTCGGAAATCTAAACAAGAAAGCTGGAGGGCACGCAGCTCCTGACGTTTCATAAAGATGGTTAGGAGGGACCTTCTTTGTACAGAAGCACACATCAAACCCTGGGACCTTCTCAAAGCTTCAGTGAGGACCTGAGGCATCAAGACCCAAAGCGGGTACGCTGTCAGGTCCAGGCTGAAGGCAAGGGAGGCCCCACATAGGTGATGACAGCAGCTGAGCTAACATAACCACCGGTATGCCCTCATGGCAAGAGCTATCTTCGGTTTCTCAAGCATGAATACCTAATACGCAGCTGCCAGCAACGAGCACATAGATCCTACTGCTCCAGGTCAGAGCAGCAACCAGTTTTACTCACCAGGGAGCCACATCCTATTGACAGAACAAGGGCTCACTCGCTATGAGAATGACTCAGCCTTTTCTCTGATCAAAAGTTGCAATATTCACCCTTGATTTATTCCACAGGTTTTGAAGGGATTTATCTGTAAAACTACTTCCTAGTAAGGCATTAAGCTGCATGCCAAAGCTGAATGAACTAGTTTTCAGCGTGACTGTCATATTCTGTAAGAAAACAGTATATGATGGAGCGAGACAGATACAGAAGCCCCCCTTGACTCACGACCAATCCCAAATTCATATGCCTTCCCAAAGCTCAAACTTCTATTCCCGATTCTAAATTTAGGATTATTATTCGTCCCGCAGCAACAGCTAATGATGCTTGACACATATTGCATGCTTCCTCCTCCAATTCATTTCTGTAATGAAGTCCTGACAACTTACTTATGCATCCCTGTGGGTGGGTGATGCCAGTATATCCCAAGTATAAAATTCTCTGTACGCCTTCCCCAAAATAAGCATATCTAACCATTTACTCCTGATACTAAGAGTGCATTTTGCAACATTTCAATCTGTTGGTTTCATTACAAGGAGAACTCGTTTTAAGCAGCTGCTTTGGCTGCCTATAATCTCAAGGTTTATTTGGGGATTTGATAAAAAGTTACCACAAGTTACTGTTGCTTAGGATTCCACACAACAACACACTGCAAACAGAAGCTGCAGGATTCTTTGCTTTGAAACCATTGAAAATATATTGCCTGGTTATGAATCTTCAAAATACGGAAAACTATGTACAACTGCAACACTGTAACAAACTAGGAATATCTACATGAAAAAGCCTCTTTTCATAAAGGAAAATGCATGCTCAGTCTTCTTATGTGCAGAAAACAACCTTCTTCTGACTACAGGATATAAAAAGGTGGGTGGATGACAAGCCAAGTAGAAACCAAAATACAAAAAGAGTCAAAGTTGCAGTTGAAAAACTCTCACAAAAAGCACTCTAATTTAAAAAGCCATAGAAACAACTTTTATTGTTGATTAGTATTTACATTTCATGATATACAGTAGCTAACTTCAGCTATTCACTGAAATGTTAGATATAGGCCAAAATGCAACTACAGGTGGTCAAGCACTAGGGAGGGAAGGCAGCATCACCGCGCGACCGAGAAGCTGAAAACCAGAGTTCCCTAACCCCTGCTTCTGCCTCCGCAATTTATCTCTGGATTATACTGCAGAGATTAATGCAGAATGAAACAAGTCTCCTGCATAAGAAGGAAGACTCGTTTCCTTCTTTTTTTGCTCTGAAACTTTTTTAGTTGTCTTTATACGTTTTAAGATTAAGACCGAAAGAACATCCTCTGAAAACTGTCCTTCCTAATTTCTCATCATTCCTCAGGTGCATTCGTTCTCCTTCTGTTCCTCGTTACTCCTTTCGCTGTTTCTATCTGCGATTCTTTTCTTTGGCAGTAGGCCTCTAGATTGCTTTCCAAATACATGACCATGAAACAGTAACCTCTACGCAAAGACAAGTTGACTGACCAGGCACTTCAATGTGACTGAAGGTAACAGGTTATCCATGTCGTGGTACCTCTAGGTTAATTAACCTAAGGGTTCCCACTCTAAGCAGGTGTCTTCTGTCACAAATACCTAACCAAAGGGTCCTTCTAAATCCTAGAAGGGAAACGTTACGATTTAAGGCATCTTTTGGACATCTTACTCAATGCCAGATTCTGCAATAGGGTTGAATCTTCATGCTATACAAATGAAAAAAATATAAAGGCAAAGTAGCCCTTAGACCATCAAATAGTAACTTTTGGGTTCAATTCCCATTTAACAACGGAACCATCTAAAAGCTGAGTTCTTACCTCTCTCTAAATGGTAACTCAATTTTGAGGCATTACACACTAGAAGTTGAAGGGGCTACATGAAATCATGCAATCTGTTTTATACTTTCTAACTTTATGAAGTCATTGCACATCTTGTGAATACTACGAAATTAATGTTAACAATATAGAAGAATCCCTTATCTGCTCTTCCAACATATTAAGAACAAACATTTACTAAATACTGTTAGTCATTCTGAAACACCTCTTTTTCAGTCATCCTGCTAGCCAAAAAACTAGAATATTCAGGCCTGAAGAAATGCAAACAGAACTTCTCATCTCAGACCTCTTAACAGTGTACAGCTGGAGTCAGTCACCCCAGTCTCGAGTGGGATATAGCACACTTTCCTTCTCTCAGATGAGACAATACAGGAAAAGCAGGGACTCTGCATGGCTCTGCAGTGAAGCAATGACAAGGACTTCTTTTTGTACCAGGATCTCACGAGAAAATTAGGAAAGTAAAAAGCATGCCTGGGACAGTCACTGAAAGCCACCTTCATTATCTATTTACAAACTAATCTCTTGACTACATCTAGGGGAACAAAGAAGAAGCTGATTTCCAAGCGCCAGCTCAAGGATGGGCTTGTTTTTCAGCATCTCTGAAATGCAGCCACCCGAACAGGACAAGTCCCTTCTCACAAAACAGATCTGCCGAGTGAAGATCCCAGCTGATGATCACCTCCTACTACCAAAAGGACCTGCTGCAGAGTACTGGGGTATAGACGCTTCCAGGCACATATGGATGTTGAAGGCTGGAAAAGTTTCATCCATCTATCTGCTGAACAGTCCATGCCTTCTGAAGGCAACTTCTTGTCATCTGCATTCTTCTGACACCTGACCGTCACTGCTACTGAGGTATAAAACCTCCCTCCTTCTTGCCTCTGACACTATGGACCTGTGGAAAGATGGGCTTCAGAGCTAATGAGCTGCATGGGGAAACAACCTGCCCACAGCACACACTACTGAGCACTTCTAGGAGCTTCCCTTTGAGCAACAAGTACCACTTGGGCAGGTGGTGTCGTCGAAAAAGAAAGGATGAGGCAAGTCTTAACATCTTGTGGCCCTGAAAGAAGCCATCCCACCAGCCCTAACCATGCCCCAGCAGGTTCCAGTTCAGTTCGCAACATCAGCAGAAAAGTAATCTGAAAGGATAAGAGGAGAATGACGGTGGGGGATGAAGGAGGGAGAAACAGCCTTGGAAGAGTTTAATGAACTGAATCAGCTCGCTGAAGGATTAGATAAGCATTAGGACTTGTACAAGGAAAGGGAAAAGTCTGTGCAACTGAAAGCAAGAGAGAGAAGGCAGAGCAGGGAAGAGGTGCAGCAAGTCGTTAGATGATCTCAGCCACCTTGTTAAAGCACACCTTTGGTGTTCTGGCCTTTGCATCAGCAGAGGCACTTGTACTGCAGCTACCAAAACCGATGGTACAGGACTGCTAAGTACTAGGCTTCCTTCTGACTCTCCTTTACCTGACAGAGCAAAGAATGATGTCTGCTCACAAGCTCCTGCTTTATCTAGGCTCTTAACTGCAGAACTGGAAGATCTCTATAGTCTGAGACCCGCAGCTTGTTGCAAGAGATATAATTTGTTACTTGAATCTCTTGATTTTCCCCTGTGGGACGAGAAAGACCAACAAATGGAACCCTTCTTTGGGACACAGCATTTCTCGGGACAGAAAGGATAGCTGCTGTGATTGCCATTGAGGGCAACGTACTAACAGAAACTGGCCAGGGTTAATACTAGAGGTTCAGAGTCCCACACCCTGGGGATCCATACGCTGTATTTCACCGTACACTATACAGACAAAAATGAAGGTTGAGAGAGGAAGGTTCCTTCATCCTTCACCATACCTGCCCTTGGAAACAAACACTCCTTAAAATAATAATACGACAAACGAAGAGAAATTTCTTCATTAAAAAGTGGGCTTTAGACACGCTCAGTTCTGCCTGCTGCCACAAACACTAAGAAAACCTGAAACAAATCAAAGGCACTCCAGTCTTTATTGCCTTTCCATAAAAAGGCCCAGGGTCTTTCTGTTTGCTCATTTTTACACTTATCATCTGGCATCTTCTTGCATGCACAGCTACAAAGGCATTCATACAACCAAATGCTTAAAGAAGAATTAACGATTCACGCTACTGTAAGATGATAACAACAGTGTTACTGAAATTCAGTAATTCAGTAACAAAAAAACCTCTAAGCATTTGGAAAACAACATTTCTAAAACAACTGCATGAAACTGCCCAAATTATACAAAGCTTCTGCAATCCTAGATCATGCACATCTCAAAGACATAAGCCAGTATTACCCAATGTGACATATAATACAGCAGACTCCAGAACAGTTATTTCCTGAACTATTGCAAAGAAATAAGCACGCAGTTCCAATAATTATAACTCTGATGACTTCTGACACCATCATTTTGGATACATTCAGAATTTTCTGACAATGGAGGGAATTATCCTCATTTCCAGAGAATAAAATAAGGAGAAGGTATGTTGTTTGATAGAGTTAACTAGCATGAATGTCCCTAAAGTAAAAATACAGTGAAGACGCAGGCACAGTTAATACTGGGTTTTCATCTGAATTTTAGTGCCAATCTTCCTCACCTTTTTTGTAGGAAAAAAACTGAAGTATTAGGTCTTCACTGCGTTTTCTTTTTAAATTACAAGACAGTTCAACCCTTGCTATCTCATGTAAAACGTGAGCCATTTTTAGCCAGGAGAATAAGGTCGAAGTAATACATTAAAGCAAACGTGAGGTGTGGGATAAGACAGACTTCCGGTAAGCAGTGATCTCCTGTTCTTCTGCCATACAACGGAGGTTCTGCCCTGGCAGTTTGGTGAAGCTAGGCTGTGTGTGCTCCTGCAGCTGGACCGCTTGCCATAAGAAGAGGGAAGAGATCCTTGAAATGACAAAATTCTGGGTGACCTCCTTTGCTTGAAGTCCGCTACTATTTACTCTTCCTAGGCTTTCGCTACGGCTAGGTCATCTGGGGCAGAGTCGTATCCCTGTCATTGCCCTTCGCTGGCCCATTCCTACTGCAGAACTGTAAATAGTACAACAGCCCCAAACAAAAGCTCCGTATGTGGGGGACGCATTTTATCCCAGCAACTTTTGTCTACATCCTACTGACAATCACTGTAACTTCCAATATCTGGATTAGTCCAGAAGAAGATGTGAGAACCTGCTTCTGTAGATATTGAACATACAACCCTTTTAATTTAGATAATTTAAAAAATCCCATAAGAGGCAGTTACTGGATTATTAATACTATAGAAAGCTTTTAATTCAAGCACTCTTCCAAGATTTCTCTCTCCCTTTACTAATCTAAATATTTTTACAAGCACTGTCACATGATCTTAAATGCTCTGCTTTATAGTGTTCCAAATATGACAGCAACATTTTGATTATGCACAGTAAATCTCCATGGGTTTAAAAGGTATGTCAGGGCTGCATGTATTCGATAAAATATAAAATGACACACTGAAAAGGTATTGAATAATTTATATCTTATCATAGCTCTTTCATGAGCATTTTATACAAACCCTTTCCACAAACTTCAAAACAATCATCTAACTCTGCTGTTAAAACCGATTAACTTTGTTCTGCAATGTGTAGAATGCGAGTTGCACTGCCTAATATAAATGCAATTGGCACTTGTGTACTATGTTACAAATTTCCAAGCGTAATGCAACACTAGTATCATGGGACGCATTCAGGAATATCCTACTTCCAAATCTGTAATTTCAAGGTGTTAGGAAAAATTTCTTAAGATGTATGGGGGGAAAAATATTGACGCATATCCCACAAACATACGAGAATCCATGAAATGCAAGATACATAGAAAAGAATGTGTCACATTTCAGACATCTAGGTTTTAAATATTCCTAATTCGTTTGATAAAGATAGGTCACTAAAGCGAATTTATGAACTGAGGATTGCAAACTGTGACATCTGCTAATATATTATGCTAATTCAATTTGCAAGAAATTAAGCATAGACTATTCATAATTCTGCAATTCTGCAGAGGATTCTATTTGTATGCTTTTTTTAGCAACTGTATTTTTAGCAACTTTTGCACAAATTGTGGCTATGAACAGGAAAAAACAATTACAAGGTAAAAAAAAAAAAAAAACCCTACAAACGAACTAGTAAACTTAGTAATCTACTTTTCAGTGTCCTCTTATGACTTTACAGCTATACTTGACTCTATGGTGCTGCATTTCAAAACTCTGACCCTCCCTCTTCCCTAGTAGCCTATGGTGTCCTTTGCAAATAACATTAGTTTCCTCTTGTCCTTCTGTCAGGAGAGTGGACAGTCTTCTCCCTCTTCACCTCCAGCCTACATCCTTTCCTGAGCGTGCACCGTCAGCCTGCTCTGTCTCTTCTGCTTACCCTGCCAAAAAGCTGAAGAAAACCCAACAGTGAACATAGCAAAGGTCACACCACTTTTTTTTTTTAAACCAACTGATATCGAGAAGGTATCTTAACAAATGCACTTAGGCTCTGGGGAAAATAAATAAAAATCAGATATCTGCAGTTATCTTTCTACTGTTCCTTGCCCCTGAGATAACTGAAGAAGGTCCCAGTCAAAATAAAGGGGGGAAAGGGAAGGAAAAAAAAAAAGGCAAATTTCACTTTTCCCTTGGCGCCTCAATTCATTGACGCTAACAAGTTTTACAACTAACAAGTTTTATATTTGCAAAGGGGTACGCTGATCTATTCTCTGCAAATTTTATTTGTCCTACTTAATCTACATATAAATGCAGCCACCGCTCAATAGTATTTTCTTATTTTCATTTAAGGAACAAGGTTTATCCATTCAAATTGTTAGAGGTGTGCTTACATTATAGATAGGAATAAGACTGGGAATAAGATTCTTGTATTAAGATGTTTAAAGATGACAAAACCTGAGACGGTGTTCACTAGACATATCGCAAGTTTTGCAGGTTTTCAGGACAACTCTGACAAGCAGCTAGGAGCCTTCTGCTCCCATTTTAGGCCTCCTCTAAAGCCCAGGTGAGACTTGTGTTCTCCTCAGTTTGCCGGCACCCTCTTTCAACCATAAAAAGCACACCTCCCCAATTCCCCAATACCACCTCTTTGACGGGCACCTTTTTTCTTTCTCCCCTGTGCCACCCCCTCTATTCCACCACGAGATGACTTCCTTTAATAAAGCAAATTACAGAGTCAATTTTTCTGACATGGCAAAAAGACTTATATGAGTTCATTTTGACACTGAACAGATTTGCACTCTTACTTCCATTCTTCTGGAGGGTGGGCTAGTTCAAATTTCTCTCTCACATTGGACACCCCCATGTCCAGGTGTAGCCAGTGAACCTCCTCAGATTGCAGGTGACTGAGCCGTAACCCATAGCAGGCCACATTTTTCACTTTGTGACTGTCCACAATCTTCTGAATTATGCCCTAAAACAGAGAAACATACACTCCTTATAAGCCATAAAATGCAATAGATATTAAAAAAAAATTCTACAGTTAGGCTTTAATATGTTACCATGTCATATCCTACACAAAACGCTAAGCAATAAATCAGATATCACCTTTCAGAACACTATACATGCTAAACGGAAAGCTTCTGTTTCAGATAACTGTTTGCTGTTTCTGAAGTTTTGCTGGCGAACGTTCACAAAAGATCGTGCAAATATGTTTCCCCGCATCTTATCAGAATTAAGCCACTGCTCCCTCTACGTAAAACAGAGTAACACAAAAGCCAAAATACGAGCAGCAGATTTGTAGACAAATGGGACATGTATTTGCTTTTTTTTTTTTAAAAAAAAAAAAAAAAAACCTGCCACCAGCCTTCAAAATCACTCTCAATCTACGACCGGAAAATTTTTTAGACTTTCATCCTATTTAGTGCCTGAGCAGCCAGGATTTAGCAGAGGTCACCTCCTAGCTCTTTGATTTCTCCCCCTCTGCGCCCCCCCACCGCGTGTGCTCCTGAGGTGCAGCGCAGATCCCTCCCATAAAGCCAAGCAATTCTCTGGGAAGGTTCTCAAACAAGACAAATACGTTGCTTCTTTGTACGTAGGTTTATGTTAGAGTTTTGAGGATTTCTTGCCAGAGAGAGGAACCTTTCAAAAAATATCATGTATCAGATTGCTGTAGGCTTTCCCAAATGAAAGGTTTAACACGCTGGTAACTAAAATTCAGTAGATTACGGATTAGCAGCCTTTTAAGTGCAATGTGCCAGACAGACCGTCTTCCTCTTATCCAGATTAGAAAGTCAGCAGGGGCTCAGACTTGCTGCCTCGCGACTCGGTAAAGGTAAGGATTGGCTCTTCGCAAGGCAGCAGATCGCAGCCAGCGCCGAGGGCAGAGCCCAGCAGGGGCACAGGCTATCGCCGCTCCCAGATTTGCTTCCAGGGAACCACAGTCCTTTGCTCCGGGCCCTGCAACGATCCTATTGAAGATGCGCTTCAGTGTTTATAGGGAAGCTGCTGGTTCTTGGTCAGAACTTCAGAGAACGTCGCCAGATAACCAGGAATAAGTTCTTTAGGGCCCGGAGGTGGGCTGCTGGAGTTAGCCAAGGGGAAGTTTGTGCAGCATTTTCCACCGTTTTCCAAAATGTCCTATTTTATATCCCAAATAAATTGTTTAAGACTCTGATTCTGCAAATTAAGCAAGCAGAAAGCTAACTGCCAAAAAAAGGACTAGGGAAGCGCTAAACAAGCTGCAGAGAGGGGGAAGATCTCACACGTAGGAGCAGGACCATGCTTTGGAGGCAGCGAGCTGCTACACCACCTCATGTGTCTTATCAAACCGCAACTTTCAACTGATCTTCCAACAGCAATACGGGGCGGAGTGAAATGTAAGACAATCCTCCGAAGTCTACAAAAAGGAAGCACAAGCCTCCTTTAGTAAGTTCAGAGAGAGTCTAAGTTAGCATCTCCATCAAGCCCGGCACTCTGTCTCCAAGAGCAGCAGTAGGACTACCTGCAGCAGCGTCTTTCTCCTCCGTACCGGTGATGGTAGAACTTCAATACCCTCATCTGCCATGCCCAGGAGAGGACTTCCTTCCATAATCCTCACTGATAAGTGGATTATGAGCCCTCCACTTGGAGGGAGACACACACAAGTAGCAAAGCGTGCAAGATGCTTGCCGAGGACTGTATCACATGAGAGGGAGACTTCAAAACACTCTGGTAAATCCTTCACTCAGGACAAGATTTTCAAGTGGCCACTACCTGCTAAGAGCACTGGTGACACTGGAGACCTGGTGGCCGGGAGGAGTCCAGGTTGCTGGGACAAGTGTCTGATGTAAATGAAAATAACCTCCCCACCAGGAGGCTGGTAAAACAAATGAAGGAAAAATGACAGTGGCCACACACGGATACCCAGGGAAGAGGGAAACCAGGGTGAGCACACACTTCACCTCCACGCTCTGCCAGCCTCTGGCTACACTCATCTGAGTGGTCTTCCTGAGCCAAGCGTTCTTTCTGTCTATTCATCAACCT